TTCATTTCCCATTTGTAAGATGCAACTTCTGTTAAAATCGTAAAAATCCGGCCACAAATATGAAAGATAGCGTTGCACATGGGCAATCCATTGTTGACGTGCTACTTCAATTTCAGTTTATGAGAAGAATTTCATTTCAATGCTTTTCTAAATAAGAAAGTTGGAACTGCGCATGCGCAAACCTAAATTTTAAAACTAATGTTAGATTTTCCTTTGTTCCAAGCGCCTAAGTATCACATTTCACTTAAATAGTTCCATAGATAAAAAAGTTGGCACTGCGCATGCGCAAAATAAAATTTTGAAACTGGCGTTTGATTTTCCTTTATCCCAAGTGCCTATGTATCAAATTTCGTTTAAATTCTTCCATAAATAAAAAACTTGGCACTGCGCATGCGCAAAACCAAATTTTGAAATTGGCGTTTGATTTTCCTTTATCCCAAGTGCCTATGTATCAAATTTCGTTTAAATTCTTCCATAAATAAAAAAGTTGGCACTGCGCATGCGCAAAACCAAATTTTGAAATTGGCGTTTGATTTTCCTTTATCCCAAGTGCCTATGTATCAAATTTCGTTAAATTCTTCCATAAATAAAAAAGTTGGCACTGCGCATGCGCAAAACCAAATTTTGAAATTGGCGTTTGATTTTCCTTTATCCCAAGTGCCTATGTATCAAATTTCGTTTTAAATTCTTCCATAAATAAAAAAGTTGGCACTGCGCATGCGCAAAACCAAATTTTGAAATTGGCGTTTGATTTTCCTTTATCCCAAGTGCCTATGTATCAAATTTCGTTGAAATTCTTCCATAAATAAAAAACTTGGCACTGCGCATGCGCAAAACCAAATTTTGAAATTGGCGTTTGATTTTCCTTTATCCCAAGTGCCTATGTATCAAATTTCGTTTAAATTCTTCCATAAATAAAAAAGTTGGCACTGCGAATGCGCAAAACCAAATTTTGAAATTGGCGTTTGATTTTCCTTTATCCCAAGTGCCTATGTATCAAATTTCGTTTAAATTCTTCCATAAATAAAAAAGTTTGCAATTCGGTTTACAAATGGTCGAGATGCGAAAAGGGCACTGTGAATTTTGAATCGATTCGATTCAACTTTTGGCATTGCGTATTATATGGCTAAAGCTATGCCCATATTGAATTTCATGCAATTCAGTTTATAACTAACGGAGATGTAAAGGCGATCGAACATTTCTAAACAAAGTTATCGTTCACACGGACAGATAGATGGACAGACAGACAAAGGAACAGACGGAGAGACCAACCGGCAGGCGACAGATAGCAATGCAAAATTATAAACGATCTCTAGGATCGTTAATAAACGGCAAAAGTGTAAAATTATGGAACATGTAAAAAACGGTTTTTTGTTTTTTTAACAATAACTTTTTTTGTAAGCGGTACAGAAAAAATTCTTTCCTTGGTACAAGACTCGACACCATAACGAACCAAATAGCGAAAAAAGTAGAACAATAGCTCTTAAGATAAAAAAACTAGTAGCGTCGCAAAGTTAGCGGACGGACGGACGGACGGACGGACAAAGTGGCCACAATAGCGCATTTTTTTTTTTATTTTTGTGGAAATGCGCTAAAAA